CTAAAAAAATATTCGATACCAATTTTTAAGAGTCTTAAAGTTTAAAAAATAAAGTTGAAGTGCTGCTTTACAAGTTTCAATCGTTTTATTGTGGTCTTCTTCGGCTTTCCGAAAAATATTTACTAAAGCGCTCAAAAATCGTCTTCTGATAACTTTCGATGTCAAGCAAACCTCGCAAGTCTATGAAGATGTATGTACGTATACCGCATTTTTTCGGGCAGCAAAATTTTTGGAGAGATTAATTTTTGGAAATGGAGAGAATGATTTAAATATGCCTAAAGGGCTGGATATCTTGTTAACCACGAAAAAAGCCATCATTTTGGCGTTATTTTCCCAATTCCACGGCGTAGGGAACTTTCGCAACGTACATGGAAAGAAAAAAAATCTAAAAAATAGAAATTTAAAGGCAGTGGAATGATAACGTAATATGATGTACATTATTGAAGACTCTATGCTTCCAATGTTTTAAACTGTCAAGTTTTATAAACTGAGTGTAATAAGGAACGAGTGAAAGAAACGTGGCAAAAATGCCCCACTTTCTATCTTTAGAGAGAGAGAGAGAGAGAGAGAGAGAGAGAGAGAGAGAGAGAGAGAGAGAGAGAGAGAGAGAGAGAGAGAGAGAGAGAGAGAGAGAGAGAGAGAGAGAGAGAGAGAGTTTTTGATGGCGTTCAGAATTAAAGGATCAGTAGCGTTCAAAGGGCACAATCACTTCTTTTTTTTTTTTTTGTCAACGCGCGAATAACAGAAAAATAATGCACGATTGTAAACGGCGCCATAGTCGCGGGAGAGAAAAAACGAGGAAGGCTTGAATTAGGTACGTAATGAACCGACCCGACCCAAGCCTCTCTCGTTTTTGCTCCGCCGAGGCCATTTCCAAGAATGCGACTGTTTAACTTTGTTTAAGTGAGTAATTTAGTGTTAACAACTGAGTTGAAAACATAAATTGGCCACCGTTAAGGGTAAAAAAGCTGACGTTTCGAGCGTTAGCCCTTCGTCAATCGCTCTGACGAAGGGCTAACGCTTGAAACGTCAGCTTTTTTACTCTTTACGGTGGCCAATTTACATTTTCAACTCAGTTGTTAACAATAAATTACCTGCTATACTCTCCCACCGACGCAGCACCACAGTTTCTTTAGAAACTTACCCCCTTTATTCATTTGGTTAAGTGACCTTGATAACAGTTTTGGTCATGTGAGTATTGCGAGTGGAACAGAAATTCCATCCATAGAGAGTTCTTTTTTAAAACTTCAAATTAATAACAACAAATTGTAATTAGAATCATAATGGGCGTAATAATGGCCACCTTGCCGATATTTGACAACCTGTTAATATACAAACAAACAAACAAATAGAGTTTACTGATAGAATAATTTCCAATTAAGTGTCATTCTCGTTTGTTTTGATCTTGCTTTATTTTGCCCTGTTATTGATCTAAAAGAAAAATTGTACATATCTTCTAACCAATCAGGAGCAATATCATTACAAATCACGACTTATCCCTTGCGTAACAGGAAAATTTCTGCAATGAGACAGAGGGGGGAGGAGAATTTATGCCTCGAATCTAATCATACACACGACGCGTTCCCTAGACTACGAGCAGTCATTCTTCGGCGAAGTCCGTCGCGTGACTTTAAAAAAGTACGAAATGTACCTACTGCCTTTCACTTCCAGAGTTCCGCGCGGTTGCGCTATTTTTCCTGCTTTTGTTTTGTTTTGTTTGTTCTTTTGTTTGTTTGTTTTTTTGGGGAGGGGGATGCGCTACGGTCTTCGCCGAAAAGGAGAGACCATTTGTAGTCTATGCGCTTCCCCTTAGTAAGAGGACCACCCGCTGGATGAAGTCTTGCCACTTGTGCTGCGTGACAAAAACAAGACAACGGGTGCAAAGAATCAAGTTTCATTGGCAAACAAAAGTGGTTTCTTTCCCACCTGATATGGTCGAGGACAAGATCGAAATTTGAAGCTAAAACTAAGTAATCACTTTCTGTTTTTTTTTTACCTGTAAATCTTCGCTGTGCTCAATCTGCAACGCAGAGATCTGAGTAACCTCTGCTACTCTTCTTTTAATTCGCTCCAACACAGGATCTTTTTTACTAAACTCCACCCAAGTGTGCATACTGTATCTTTCATTATAGTAAGGGAAGCGGTACATGGTGTGAAGTCGATACATGAACTCTACAAACTGCGTTCGATTCACCTTAGTGCAGTTCTCGTAGGTGATGTACGAAGCTCCTTCGAGGAGGAGCGCTTCGTAAGCGTTCCACACATCGTTGCGGGTCACCAACATTTTTTTAACGCTGTATACATAATCATTAAACTCACGAACAGTTATATTCCCGTCCTCATTCTTGTCGAAACGGCAGATTCTCTTGCAGTAGATTCCCATTTGTCTCTGTGTTAACGTTGTGTTCACACCCTCTCTAGTCACCGTTTCTCTACGTGCGGTTGCGCTCTCTGCGAGACCATTCTTGTTCGCTAGGTTTACCAAGTGATCGCATTCATCGTCGCTTAGCAGACCTGGGATTTCAAACACAGGCGGCTTTACACTTCGGGTTTTTAATTGTAAGGTCTTCTCTTCATCAACTTGGATGGTTTGTACGTGATCTACAGCTACAGGATCTCTCCTTGGAAGTCGTACGTCTGAAATGGCAGAGTATAAACCATCTTTATAGCACGGTTCTTGTTCGCCGTCCCCATCCACGCCGGGGCCACCAAAGGAACATGTTTCACCTTTGCTTGGCTTCAAATCCGATCCACGAATATGGACGAAACCACAAGTTATCACAAGAATGAAGAAAAAACATTTCAAGGGAAAAGACATGATGAGGTGATATCTGCCAAAGATAGGCAGAGCAACACCATCGAAGAAGAAAGGGGTTGTTGTTGTCTGTGTTATCTCAAACTTAATCAGATCAAAGGCCGTTTGTTTATCGCTGCACGATGCCCGCACAAAGACTCAGCTAGGTTTTTGTCATTTGATACTACAGGCTGTAACTGCAAGAAATATTAGGTAGAGTGACTGACAAAACACCACGCGAGAAGGTCACGCGAGGGGCGCAAGAACGCGCCGTTCACATTTTTGCCTTGAAAAGGCCTATCTGAAGAACCAAAACACTACAGTTGAATGGCGTCATGCAAGATATTATGAACTGATCTCTTGCGTCATGATAAAAAAAACAAAAGCGGGAAAAAAATGTAAAAACAAAATAAAACCTCATGGGGCAGTTGATTTTTAAAAGTTTGACAGGCCTGGTTTGATCAGGGAAAAGATCCAGGATTTTTCTGTATTTCCTCGAAGAAGCCCCCTCCTCAGAAAAAGCGCCCACACTCCGCCAGCTCCCTTCGTCCCTCACTTTCTTAAATAGTAGAAACACAAGGAAAACCTGTACACATTTCCACTTTATCTACGACTTCTTATGGTTTAACTACGACGCGATTAGTACAGGATAATGATTTCCCCCCTGTATTTCCAAGAATAAGCGCCCACGCTCTAATCAGCGCTCTCCCCAAATAAGCACCCACCCCCAGGTCATTATGTCAAGCAAGAGCCCCTTTCGAATTAGCATCCCCCCCGTCCCCCTACTAAAAGGGATACCAAGAAAACCTGTTGCTGTGGCTACTTTTTTGTATCTTCAACTACAACAGCATCAGTACTGTCCTTTTTCGTCAAGTCATTTCCAGTTTTTTCTATCTCCATTTGCTTGCTGTTCTTTTAATTTGGGTCCTATTGCCGCGCTCTTGGTAAACTTCGTAAGCATGAGCAACTAAACAATTCTGTGGTATTCAAGGACCAATTAAATTGGAAATTAACAAAAGTTATTGGGATACTTCTGAAAAAAAAAGTTGATGATGAAAAAACAGCCCCCCGCTTAAGCACTGTCCTTCCGATAAGCGCCCCTCCTTCAAACCGAAATTTTATATAAGTGCCTAGGCGCTTACTTGAGGACATAAGGTAAGCCTGAAATAATGTTACACGTTATCAGAGGGCGTATTTTATATCAGGTGAAGAGCAGAGTGCGAGGTTTGTTCGTAATCAAGTGCAGATTAGTAATCCGCTTCATGGCGAGGATAGTATTCATGACACCACATTTTCATCAACATCCGCTGCCCCCAGAAGTTGACTTGGGTCTGATACTAGTAAATGGAGCGAGATACAGATTCGTTTACTTTGTATTCGAAACCATTTTTACGTAGAGTAAATTTTGTTCTTTAGAAAGCGGATGCAGCAGAGAAGAATTTTGAGTAAGTGAGCGGCCATATAAAACAAAAATAACAACAAAATGACAAATAAAAGATATTCAAATTTCAGAACTGAATGTTCAAAGTGACGGTAACGATAAGGGAACATACCCTGCTTAGGTGTGGCGACGTTCAATAGGGAAAGGGTTCGCCTTTTTGGGTCGGGGGGGGGGGGGGGGGCGGAAAAAAAAAGGGAGAATGACTCCGGGTTTTTTTCATATCCCGAATTATTGAATAACCTCAGCAAATGTTCACTTTTTTCTCATTTCTCTCCCGTTTCCCGATCTTTCCTTTGCCGTCTTCCCTTCCCCTTCTCTTCTCTTCTCTCGACAGCAAAAGACAACTTTATTTACTCCTGTTTAAAAGAAACCTTCTAACTTCTTAACCTGAGTGATGAACCTTCAAAGATCATTCGTGATTTGGCTAAGTTGTAGAATCTATAACGAGCTGAAATTCAAGAAATGAGCCCACGATCCTCCTCCGAAGAGACTGTTCTCTGTGAGGAACAAAGACCAAGTCGGAATAATTGTCCAGACGGCCGTGACGTTTTCTAACTTGTTTCTAAGGTCGGAAGTCGCATAAGCACCGGCAAGTTTTTATTTTCTATGCAAGATTTTTCTAAGTTCTGAAGATGAAACAATAGCGCCAATATCCTCTTGACAAATTCCTTGTCGTTTAGCCGACATGCAAGTTTTTCAATAGTTGCCGCGGACGAAATTTTCCAGAGGGGTATTACAGAAATTCAATTCTAGCAGGTGTATACTGACAAGTGTAGTCCAGCAATATTTTCCTGATGGAGCAATTTTCAATTGAGTGTCGAAAGTAATCCAAGATTGCTTTGGATTACTTGACGAAGGGCTAACGCTCGAAAAGTCAGCCTTTTTACTCTTGACGGTGGCCAATTCACGTTTTCAACTCAGTTGTTAACACTAAATTACCTGCTAATCCAAGATTACTTTGGTTTTCTTTGACATCGCTCTGTGATTGGCCCAGAGAACTAGCGCCACTTTCTCAACCAATTAGATGCAAAACTTAAAACAATAACGACTTGGTCGCCCGCATTTTCCCGCGCTTTAATTACGATCTAAAACATTACAGTTCAATTATGAATTGTCGTCTTTCCTTAAGGGTGCGTTCAACCATACATTCGCAATCCACTTGACTCCCTCAATGACGTCACATCCACCATGTAAAGACAGCCAATCAAAGACACCCATGTGATCATCCCCGTCATGCTCTAAGAGATGATTGTACCACATGACCGCTTTGCCTTTCTTTGGTTGGATCAGTAGGTTAGCTTCGCGGCATCTTTCATTGAGGGTTACGGAATAGTTTCTCGAGTAGAAACGTTCAGGATCATCCGCCAAGGGGAATGCCGTTTCGCCGCCTTTCGCCACGTTGTTTAAGTAAAGGAGAATGGTAACGAACCTGGAAAATTAATTAAGAGGGACTTAATTAACACAATAAACTATGTACCCATAAGCCAGAAATAGACATTGATATATTTAAAAATCTACAGCAGTTGAGGGCTTATTACGAACCCCTACTGTTACAGAGATCCCGTAAAACATGGATAGGGGAAGACTAAGGAGAGCGAGCCTTAGTGCCAGGTTTTTGCCGGCTCATTTTCTCTGCGTTTTCTTTTTCTCGCGTCTCCGCTCCGGGGGTAAAATACTAGTGCAATTAAGACCAAAGTATGTCGTGAAGAACCAAGCTTGGGGATAGGGCTTTATTATAAGCGTTGCAGGCGGCGCGTTTTTCCCCCGCTGGAAGATTTAGAGACGAGTCGGGGAAAGGTTTGTCGGGAGCCTGGCTCTAAGACTTATCAGTGCTAGACCCGGTTCCAGACCTCTCACCGATTCGCTCAAGACCTCCGAATATTTTCTTGCGGGCGAAGAAACACTCGTGCTGAAGCGTTAATAATGAAGGCCTGCCGGCGCGTAATAACGAACCTAGCAAAAACAAACCTGCACAAGTTGCAATCTTGAAAATCTTGTCCTTCACGGCAGCATTCCTTTATCCTGGCAGAATCGTGCGTTGTGTCGTAGTGAGCATTGTAATGGCCCAACACAGAGTAACGTACCACCTGAACATAAACAAAGCAATTTTCATCATCAGATGATCAAGAAGTTTTTGTCTTATGCCGCTAAGGGACGATATGCCTTCACCAATATCACCGGCCAAAAAAAAATGCATTCTAATCAAGCAGAAGCGGAGCTTACATCTATCGGGATTTCGGTCGCGTATGTTGTCACGCACTCTTCCAAAAACGGGGTTAATTGTCTGAGAGTGATCCCTTATCAAAGGTCTTTATATTTTTATAAGAAAACTTGCCTGAATTTCTTCACTTTTTTCTATTAAAGTTCTTGACAGGCCCGTGAGCTTAGCGATCCTTCTCTGTAGCGATCTCACAACGGGCGTGTCTTTAGAAAGCACTGCAGATTCACTAAAGCGAATGAAATACCGAGGGTCAGATTTGAGTTTCTCGACATGAAAGAGGAACTCAACGTAGGTAGCATTTGTGACGTCTGCGCACTCCTTGTCATCAACAAATCCGTCTGAGTTGAAATCAAATAAAGTAAATATCGGCAATGCATCTTCCTTTGTCGGATAAACATATTTCTCTAGATCCACAAATCTTATAAATTCTTGTAGGGTTATTTTTCCGTCCCGATCAGTGTCATAGACAGGTCGTTGGAGTTTCCAGCAGAACAGAGTTTTTTCGAGGGTCAAATTCTTTGAGGCCAGCTTCTTCACGAATTCCTCTTTACCAATTCCTTCTCCTTTTCCCTTGATTGTTAAGCTGTCCTTAAGGTGACTTTGTTGGGATAACTGAATGAGCAGATCGCATTCCTTGTGGCTCAGAAATTCGTTTATCTCGAATAACAATGGTTGAAAACTGCGGGTCACAACTCGATGTGATTTATTCTCCTCGAGTTTCATTTCCCGAATGTGGCCGATTTTTACACCATTGAGCCTCACCAGGCGGAAAAATGCATCCTGGGTCCGGTCTTCATTCTTTGTTGGGCAAATCTTAGGTTTGAGAAAATCATTTGCACAAGTTTGGGACCCATCTTGAGTTGTATTCGATCTTGATCTTCCCGTCTCAGCGCTCAGAGATTTTATGAAGTAAATTTGGTACACCAGAAGCAGTGCCAAAAACGTTAAATTTACTCGAGGATCGAAGAGACAGAAGGACATGTCTTAATTTCACAGGCAGATGGTTAGAAAACCAATCTATCGGTCCCTAGTTGTAACGCAAGTCTCCCCATCAAAGTGACCGGCCTTATGTTGAACTATTAAGACGTACACGTGGAAGCGCGCGTGAAAAACATCGCCCACGTGCCGGTATATGTAGGATCTGTAAATGACGTGCAATACCTTTCGAAATGGGAGATATGGGTGAGGAGAAGTTTTTGTTCCCTTCTAATTTAAACTCTTCCATGCCTATCTTAAATCATGCTTTAAAGCTTTGCATAACACTGAGACTTGGCCAGATTATCTTAAAATAATAAAACAGGAATGCCGCAAGGAACTGCGCTCGAGGAATTCAATTAGATTAGTGGTGCCGACCGAAAACAGCACTTTCCAAGATAACGCGTCCAAGCTATTTAACAATTTACCAAACTTTCAAGGAATTTTTTATGTAATAGAGTACAAAGTGATTAGTTAGTTTTACTGTAATTTCTATTCTGTTAATCCTACTTCTACTTTTAATTGCATATTGCGTAATTTGTGAAATAACTTAATTTGATTTTTTTAAAAATTATTTTAATTGTAATTGATGTATTTTAACAGGGAAGAGCCACCTGGTGGATCTGTTAATAAACCATTATTATTATTATTATTATTATTATAGATAGTTTTTATTTCCTTATTATTATTAATTGTTATTAGATAGTATTATTCTCTTTCGTACACAAGAAGAATGTACAATAGGGTATATATTTAAATATTCATATTCTTGAATCTGTAAATAGTCTATTTTTTTTAAATCTATGAATAAAGTTTTGTAATATTATTATTATTATTATTATTATTATTATTATTATTATTATTATTATTCTGCAGTTACTCTTGGATGTGTATATGCGGTAACTGGTCGGATGGAAATAAAAGTGACTAGCTCAGAGATTTTCAAGAGAAAAAAACAAAACAAAACAAAACAAAAAAAACACTAGACTGTGAAATGATGGATGTAAGCTCCTTCTTTGTCCTTATCCCCTTAATTCCCATGAGTGATCAAGACAGATTTTCTCCCTACTTTATCAATACAATTTCAAGCAGACAGGTGATGAGAATAAAGAAAAATATCAATTGTGAGATTATTGGTTGATCAAGCACCAAATTCTCCAAACCAACATCATGAGAATTGTATGGCAAACAGTAAGAAGAATTACTAATTCGATCTTGGGAGTGGAAGGGTTAGCATAATTAGTTACCCCTTAATTGCATGCAACACAGTAATTGATACAAATTCAAAATTTTTTTTGATGCATGAAATGTTTGTAGTAAAGAGTAACATTGGTTTAAATTAGCATTAAATCTAAATTATCGCGTCCGAAAACTAACAGAAGCATCCGGTGGGGACAGATGCGTTCACAATTAATTGGACAGAACTGTCCTAACAACGAAGCGTCTGAAGTTGGACGGAATAGTGAAAAAAAGCAAAACCAAAAACAGAAACAACAACAAAAACAAAAACAAAAAAAACGGGGGAAGGGGATCTGGAACTGGACGGAACTGTCCGAAATCAGACGGTGACGATCAAAATTGGACGGTAGCGTCCAAAACCGGACGGAAAGTTGGTTCATTGAAATAATGCGAAGGGACGGACCATTATTTTTCTGGAGGGGAGTATGAGAAATATTGAAAAAAAATTGTTTGCAGGGTCTGAAAAGACAAAATAATTTGTTTGCAAGCGTGATAGGGTAAAAATAAATGTTTGCAGTGACGTCAGGTAAGATATTAAAAAATACTATTACCAAAACTGAAATAAAAAAAATTAAGCCACAAATCGAAGCATTAGTATAAAAATTAACACAATTTGGGAACTTAAAAGTGGTCACTCTCTATTAAGCAAATAACAAATCTGAAAATAGCTGAATGCTTCTTGAAAAATGGGAATTTAATGTGGCAATTAAAAAATGGAAAAAATTGTTTGCACGAAGATGATGTAGGAAAAAAATGTTTGCGGAGACGTAAATGTTTAAAAAATGTTTGCAAATAAAATTTCTCATACCCAGAAAAATAATGGTCCGTCCCTAAAGCCTGTTTTTAAGATGGTTTGCTAGTTCTATTTATGCATGGTGCTCGTTTATCAGACGTTCTAAGTCTTTAAAGAGCTATTGCAGTCCCCTTCAGAAAAATAATGGTCCGTCCCTAAAGCCCGTTTTTAAGATGGTTTACTAGTTCTATTTATGCATGGTACTCGTTTATCAGACGTTCTTAGTCTTCAAAGAGCTATTGCAGTCCCCTTCAGAAAAATAATGGTCCGTCCCTAAAGCCTGTTTTTAAGATGGTTTGCTAGTGCTATTTGTGCGTGGTGCTCGTTTATCAGACGTACTAAGTCTTCATATAGCTATTGCAGTAGAGCAGTATAAAAAACTAGACATTCGTGTTTCTCAACTAGGCGTATGTAAGTGGTGTAGCAACTTAGGAGGTCCTTTGTCGGTAACTTCGCGCGCCTCAGTCTCCTTGAAAAATAACAACACGATACAAATTTCTTACACATTATTCTACATGCGTGTTCAATTTCAGATATCCTAATACCCAATGGCCCAACAAAAAATGTAATAAAATTGTTAATGATAAGCTCCCAAATTATTCTCCGGCCTGGAAAATGTCATTCTATGTTCCTTGCAGTTCGTTCCTTTCAACCAATCCCATCAGCTTAAGACTGATCAACAAACTCATCACTGCACAACTGCACTAAGCTGCTTCCGTTCTTAACCAAAAACTCAGCGTTTGCTGTGCATTTTTTGCGCTCCACCCTCCTAACCCCCCCGCGTTTGACACGCTTCGCTTTCGCCTCGTACTCCCCTCTGTCCGCCTGAAAAACGCAAAACAAAAAATAAATAAATAAATAGATAAATTAAATGAAAAAACGAATTGCGTCTATTATGCAGGCTAATTTAGACAGTTGGCTTTGCTCTGTTTCTCAAGAACCGACCCAGACGATAAGATAAGAGTGTTGCACTAGTACCGCGCGGGAAATCAGCAGGGAGCGAGTGGATGGAAACAGTGCATGAGCGATAAGACAGCCTCAATGACAATATAAATCTGTTGACGGTGTGGTCCCCGGCGAGGCTCAGTTTGAAAAGGAGGTAGGGTTTCAACGGTCGTGTGTCAAGGTTGATGTGGTCGCGGGCTGTTAGAAACCTCTAAACTGGAAATTTTTGAAGCAAACCGCGGCTTAGCGTCGGTTGCACGGGGAAGATTGAGTTTGTAGTGAATTGAAATGAAACTACAGTATGTGTGCTTAGATTCTGTGTTGGATTTGTGGCCGCCCGGTCATTTTGAGCTTGGATTTTTCGCTTCTCGGATCAGGCGTTCGGAAATGGAGTGTTCAGCCTTGGGCTTTTCTTAGGCTTATACTATTTTGCGAAACGAAACGAAACGAAACGAAACGAAATCGGGTCAGATGAAATAAAACAAAAGAAATAATGCAGATATATTTTCTAATAAGGTAAAGATAACTTTCACAAGGATTTTGGAGTAATCGTTCATTAACAAGAAGGATTTTTATTCATTTCGCAAAATAGTAATTTTAGGAGAGTTACTATTTTGCGAAATGGACCATTTCCACCCCTGCGGTGACAACGTGACCTCTTTCATGTCACGAGAATACATCTAAACATTACAAATTAGTATATCAACGAACATTTTGGCCTCCTCTTATTTCTTAAACCGTATTAAAATATATTTCGCAAAATAGTAATTTTAGGAGAGTTACTATTTTGCGAAATGGACTATTTTCACCTTGAGGTGACAACGTGACCTTTTTCATGTCACAAAAATACATTTAAACATTACAAATTAGTATATCACCGAACATTTTGGCCTCCTGTTATCTCTTAAACCGTATTAAAATGTATTTCGCAAAATAGTAATTTTAGGAGAGTTACTATTTTGCGAAATGGACTATTTTCACCCTGCGGTGACAACGTGACCTCTTTCACGTCACGAAAATACATTTAAACATAACAAATTAGTATATCACCGAACATTTTGGCCTCCTGTTATCTCTTAAACCATATTAAAATGTATTTCGCAAAATAGTAATTTTAGGAGAGTTACTATTTTGCGAAATGGACTATTTCCACCCCTGCGGTGACAACGTGACCTCTTTCACGTCACGAAAATACATTTAAACATAACAAATTAGTATATCACCGAACATTTTGGCCTCCTTTTATTTCTTAAACCGTATTAAAATATGTTTCGCAAAATAGTAATTTTAGGAGAGTTACTTTTTTGCGAAATGGACTATTTTCACCCCTGCGGTGACAACGTGACCTCTTTCATGTCACAAAAATACATTTAAACATTACAAATTAGTATATCACCGAACATCTTGGCCTCCTCTTATTTCTTAAACCGTTTCAAAATTTATTTCGCAAAATAGTAATTTTAGGAGAGTTACTATTTTGCGAAATGGACTATTTTTACCCCTCAATAACTTTCTTTTCGGGTCACAAAAATACGCTTAAACATTTCATTATAGTATATTCTCGAAGGGTTCGGTCACCTCCTCTTTCTCTATCCAGATATAATTAATTTCTCAAAGTAGTAATGTCAGAAAAATTACTGTTTTGCGTAATAGCTAGGCTATTTTCACTCAGCGGTAACGATGTCGTTATTCTCGTGTCATACAATAGGTTTTCGGTAAGTTTCAATTTAAAGCACTATCAAATCTCAAAAGGTCTAAGCTATCTTCACCTATATAAACGTCTTCTAAGTTTATTTCGCGAGGCAATAATTTTGGAAGAATTACTGTTTTGCAAAATGGACCATTAATGATTTAAATGCCGCCTGAGAAAACTGACTCGTGACAGATTGGGTTTACAAGTCTTACCTTTCCTTGTACGTAAGTGTTTTAATTAGCTGTAGTCTGTACTTCTTCACTGCCAAGCAACAAGGCGGTGTTTTCCTTTCCTCAGCTTCAAATGATTAAGTAAGAGCCAATTAATAACTCCATCTCAATAAACATGCAACAAGAGGTTTGGGCTAACAGGTTCATTTAATCAAAATCGACAACTGTGTAGTACCGTATTGCGTGACGCCGAAACCAAGTCAAGAGAACCCTGCTGAAGGCCCAAACCGAGGTTGTGTCCAATTAATGACATGGGAGGGAGCGGAAAGTAAGAGGTAAAAGCTGTTTTTACTAGCGACGGAGCTATTCTAGGGGGAAGTTGGCATGTTCTCCTGAGAGATTTGAAAGACTCGTTTCGTGCGTTTTGAAGGGTGTGCACTGTTTCGGTGCAAAACCAACATGACAGTTTTCCAGTAAATAAATAATATACATGGAAAATACTCCAAATTCCTTGTGAAAGTTTTCTTTACCTTGTTAGAAAATATATCTGCATTATTCCTTTAGTTTTGTTCTATCTCACCTGATTTCGTTTCGTTTCGCAAAATAGTATAAGCCTTTCTTATGTACGTTGAAAACCTCGAAATGAACAACTCGCTCAAATGGGCTCTTTTCATCAAAGTAAGCGGTCAGATAACAAGCAATACGCTGTGGAAGCGAGGTGAGGTATTTTTTTTGAGAATTTGACGTATTTTTTTTTATTCCTGAGGGCGGTCGTAAATATGCCCATACAAACTCTTATAATTCCGCCATGACCGTTATTGCGTAAGATGATCATCTCACAGCTGGAGCTTGGGCCGCCTGTGCACCCACTAAACTTTTTCGCTTCCCTCCACCACTCACATTGTTAAAATTTAATTTTCCCTCCCATTTCTTCAATCATTTCTCTTAAAAAAAACGGAAAAAAACAGAACAAACAAAACAAAACAAAAAAAAAAACGAAAAACAAAAAACCAAAAAACAGAGAGTAGATTGGGGCGAGAAGAAAAAGAGGGTGCGTCGTAGGAGTGTTGTAGGCATGTCTCGACCCAACCCCCGTCTTCTATTGTTTTGTGGTTTCCGTCTGCTCACTCTTCATAGGACTCGTTGTTGGGAAAGGCACAGAGAAGTTATACTGCTCTGGAAAGTGAAAGAAATCCGGTAAAATCTCGATATCTTTATCTTAACTAAGAGATATATTTTTTTATATTCTGGTCAAACTATTCAAGGATCGCACGAAGGTTAGTGAAGTCAGAGACGCATTTCGTGATCTCTGAAATCATAATTCCATTCCTCGTGTTTACCGAAATTCGAATTTGCGAAGTAATCTTTGAGTTGGACTGCAATATTTCTCAAATGATCATTCGAACTTGGCCTACACGAGAAGATCAATTGAACTTGAGATGAAGAAAAGCAAGTTCAAAGATAAACGGATTCTTGCGAATGAATAAGGCTGGGTAATTGATCTCGATTTTTTTTTAATGCAAGTTTCTTCTTATAAAACAAGATATGACTTTTATTTCGAGATCTCAAGTTAACATGCAAGATCTGCACTTAAAATGCAATATTTCCTCCAAGAACACAACCTCTTGACTTAAAACGCGAGATCACGGCTAACACCACGAAATCTCCATTAATATTCTGATCAGCGCTTATGTGTCGAAATCTTTTGTAGTCAATAGGAATATCGTGTGCTTAGCCTATATCTTGCGTTACCACAACCCCTTCTTAAGCAATCTTATATCTATTCAGTTTTTTCACTCTGAACCTTTACTGCAAGTCTATTAAATCAGAGAATTCATATCGGTAATAACACTTACTGGAAACGTGATTCTCTGTCACTCGCATATTCAACTTTACAACGCAAACTGATGATATTTCCAAAGCGTCAATTAAACGTGACGAGCTGAAATCGTGATGTGGACTGTCCCGAGGGAACGCACCCGTCTGAACGAGATTGATCTGACCGGCTGTACAAAGAACCTTTGCAGACTACAGTTTTCCGTAACAACTTGTAATGAGGTAAATTTCATCGACATGCGGATGAAATTGAGTCAAAGAAATTATTATCTTTGTAGGTGGACTGCGATAACCGCTTAGCAACTGCAGAAAAGACGCTTGAAAAATTTCAAGCTTTGACGGGATTCGAACCCGGGCCTCCTAGTTAACAAATAGAGAAGCCTTGACTGTGCTCTGTTCTGTTGTAAAGCACACAGAAAGCAGCTAAAGCGCGATAAAAGTGTGGGGAGAAACACAAACCGCCGGAGTCGAGTGTTGCTTCTCACTTCTGCGTGCTCTAGCCGCTCCCTAGGAGCCTTACAACCGAACAGAGCACAGTCATCAAGGCTTCTCTATTTGCATCATACTAAATAATCCGTTAAATTCCCCACGCATTACTTTCAAGTTTCAAAACAATCTTTATTTCCAAAGCGAACAACAGTGTCGTCAACATGCTCTATTAAAGAAATAAAAAACGCGCCGAGTGCATTGTTGAGTCCTATAAGCACGCGGTAATTTTTAAGAACACGAGAGAAGTACGGTGTTCTTAAAAATTCTTAAGTGCTTCTAGATCAACGCTCGAGGAATAAGATTTTCATTTCCTTTATAAAATGTATTGTGAAATGCGCGCGCTCGTACCGATGACTCTATGGAAATAGAATGAACTCGTTCTGATCAATCACGGCACGCGCATTTCTCTGACATTATGAACTCTCATAAGGCACGCTAAAATAAGCCAATCAGAATTCTTGTTAGAATGGTTGCACAAGACTAAAGCTGTTAAAAATTTCAAAGCATCAAAGTTCACAAACCATCAAAGGTCACGATCTGCAACAGTTCACAAATTGAAAGAGTTCGGCAGGTCGAAATTAAAACGTTTGCCTGAAGTTTTTGTAGTTTCAAATACAGAATCTGAAAGTGAAATGTTCAGTGAAATCCGGCCGAATTGTGGCTCATAAAAACGCGCAAGTTTTTTCCCATGACACAAAGAAAACAAACTGCACAAGGCTTGTGTGTTAAGCATGAACGACAACTGAATTCACAAGAACATAAGGATTGCTTGCAATGACAGTGCTGTAATACTCCTCTGCTGTGACCGATGTGGCCTTCCACTCATCGCATCGGAAAGGATATCAGAGCAACCTTTTACTTGTTCACTCGAAGGGCGGCCGATGTAATTCTGAGGCTTTCTTCACTGCGATGGACCCCTGCATGATCGAAGTCGCTCTGACACTATCGTGATTAGTATGAATTTTAACGGTTATGCCAGTTTGCCTATGTTTTTCATCATTCCTGTTATGTTCCATTTTGTTTTTGAACACGAAACTATATATACTATTCGAGTGTTCGCTGTGTTTGATTTGTATTACCGTATGTAAGCTTACAATCTAACTGAGCGTGAAAACCTTCAAAACTCGGACTGTATTTCGTTTTCTCTTTGAGGATTTTCGTTTCCGCCCACGTTATAATAACGTAAATTACGGCGCTTGGTATGTTTATAAATCTTTGTCTACTTTTTCTGTTGCTACTTGCCGGCTTGCTTGTTTCGAAATTACAATTTAAAGTAACGAAGAAAAGCTAGAGAGAGGTCACGGAAAAGGTCGGAGATGGTACAATTTGGCAGATGGTGCAACAGCTTTAGCTCAGCTCTTTGGTTTGTACTCTGATAGAGAGCACGCTCTTTCAACCAACGACAGCGCACCTTTTATCCGAACTTTATTAAATAAGAGCTTCTATATTTCGAAATATTTTGTTCAAAACAAGGATCTAGTGAACAAAGCCCATATCTTATGTTACCACAACCCCCACTTTGCCAATCTGGTATCTGTTCAGTTTTTCAATCTAGTTTGGTCTGAAAAGTTGCTTTGAACCTATACTGAAAGTCAGTTAAAATAAAATTCACAGGAAACGTGATTCTTTACCTCTTAAATAGTGAACTTCAGAACGCAAACAGATGATATTTCCAAAGCGCCAATTAAACGTGACGAGCCGAAATCCTGACTTCGATCATTTCAAGGGAACGCACCCTTAGAAAAAGGAAATTTCTGGCTAAACAAGTTTGATCCCATTGGCTGTAAAAAAAACCTTTGCAGACAACAGCTTTCCACAACATATGATGAAATGAATTTCATTGACCTGCGGATGAAAATCAGTCGAAGAAATTATGATTCTCGTAAGTGGACTGCGATTTTCGCAATTGCAGAGAAGAAGCTAGAAAATTTTCAGGCTTCGATGGGATTCGAACCGTTGGCTCTCAGATAGTATTATTTGGGTAGTTACAAAGCCACACTTAGGCAGCAAGGCAAATTTTCAGCACCATAAATGATAAGAGTTGTCAGACCTCCTTTTTGAAAGCCACAAAAGTTGTCTTCCTTTTTCACTTATTTTCTATTAGTTGTTCTGCTGATTCAACCAGCATTCAGTAATAACTGAGGTCAAGTCATTGCATAAGTGACCAAAATCCCCTAAAAATCACTCATACCTCAAGATCAGGGTTGAGAGGAGTACAACAAGACCAACTGAACTGCTCCATTGTTTTATTGAGCATCATCATTTTTAAATTTCATGAGTTTTTTTTTAGATATTTCATTAATATTTTGTGGTTTAGGCTCAATAAATTTTAAAATTCATATTTCTATAGCTCACTCTGCATGGGGATATTAATTACCCCTTTAACTCCCAAGATTTGATTGCTAATTCTTCCCTCTACCTGCTAGACATTTCCTTATAAATTGTTTGCAAGAGTTTAGTGTTAGATCAAGATAACAACTTCAACTATTGCATGGATATTGCTATTAACATACAGTCATGCAAAACGATTCCTGATAACATTATCCCACATAAAATATACAACACTGCACCAAGATACAACACTGTAGAGCAATAAATAGATAATATCTATGGAACTCAACACACAGGTCTATAACAGAAATCTAACCAAAGGCAGAAAAATAAAGAAGAAACTACACATGGGAAAGGAAACTAGTTTACAGCCAGTAATTTCACAGAGCCACGTTTCAGTTCCTGGATATGGTTGCGCTGAGTTTCGCTGCATTCCTCAGAAAGTTTCTTCAGCTGATGAATCTCACCCCATCAAGTTAAAAACAATGAATTCCAGACTTTATTTCACACACCCTGTGAGTATACAATTTGAATCATTCACGGGAAATATGGCCACCAGTCATTTTATACCCACAGATGTTTTGCACACTGTCAAATCCTACCTAAATTCAGACAAATTGTACCCAATTTATGTCAGTTTGTACCCGACCTCTTGGTCTGTTTGTTCCTGTCCCAACATCCCTAACTTTTCTTGTTTTTCCAGGAATCTGGCTTTTCAGAAATCCCTACAAAGACAGACTTGAGGTTTGGGACAAACAAATGTATCCCAAATTTAATACCATAATTGATGTTCACTATTTAGTTTTCTGACACTTGCATTTCTTCTTTGAAACACAATTATATTATATAAACAGTTCTAGTATTTACAGTTTGCTAAGTTTGCAATACAAGTACAGCCAGAACATGACCTTTGTAACTAGCCTCACCAATAATGTTGTTTTCATAGTTGAAGTTGTTGGTGACACGTCAGTTCAGTCCTCATTGTTTGGCACAGTCAGACTGTCAGTGGATTTACAAAGTGCAAAGTGGAGGAAGCCATACAAGTCTAAATATTGATGTAGGAGAAAACTGCAAGGTTGTGTTCACAACACAAGAATACCCAAAGGTGGGCAGAAACAAAGCTGTACGTTACCCTTCTGAAACAAAACAAATTAATATATATTAAACTGCAGCTTAGCTTAGAAACCTAAACCCACTTCAGACCAAAATAAGTGATTTTTTGAGCTCTAATTCAGATATCGGATTGAAGTTAAAACAGTTATTGAAGTCTGTAAGGGAGATGTGGTATGGTTTAGTATGAGGCCAAGAGAGAATTTAGGGGGATAGTTCTTCTGCTCAGGCTGTTGAAACTTCAGTCACCAATTAGACAACAGTCCTTCTCATGACTACCCTCACCTGAACCATCAGATGACTCAATCAAATGTTACTCCCAGCTTAAACTGTTTACTAGAAGTTTCTATAAACTTTCCCTTATGTGCCAAAAAGGGATCCAATTCCCCCCTAGAAACTCACCTCATTTGGCTCTTCCCTTGAATAACCTTCCCCCTTGAAAAGAACAGCTATTGTAAACAAAAGGTGCTGATGTAAAATCTTCTTGAATATCTTGAAAGAGAAGCTAAGGGGTATGATACAACTGAATCCCCTACTTCTATTGGTCCAAGGATTAGTAAGGAGTTTCAAAACTGACATTTTGAGAATTAGCCCCTCATCATTCTCTCTGACAAAGGGCTAACCCTTGAAACGTCAGCTTTGAAACTCTTTACAGCCGCCAAGTTACATATGAACTCAATTGATAATACTAAATTACCCTGTTATACTCTATACCTATGCAGCACCTCAGTTTCTTTAGAAACTTACCCCCTCTATTCAAGGATTAGTACAGCTGAGCTAATTTAAAAAACTTTATCAACTTTATCACTCTCTTCAGATTTTAGCATCAGATGATGATTCCATTGGTGAACAACATCTCAAAGTACATGTGGCTGATGGTGCAATCCTAGCAGTGTTGCCTGATCCTATCATTTGCTGCAAGAATGCCAAGTTCCAGCAAGAACAGGTAAAAAGTAGAGGTGTTGCAAAATGGTCACCTGCATCTGCATTTGTGAATGATGCTGCATATCAGCTAACTTGATCCATCATAATTCACTTTGGATTTATGCCTTAGGATTTGTTGCTATAACATAGGTTATTGTGACTGAGTCATCCCACTATTGTCTTTAAATATCTGCTATAATTTGTGCTGATAAATGGAGAGGGGTCTAGCAAAGGAGTTGGAGTTAAATTGCTTACAATTTCCTCTTCACCTCATCGCACCTTTAAGAGACACAGTGGCCAAATGATTAGTGCACTAGACTCCGGGTTGAAAGGTCTGGGTTCAAGACCTGGTCGGGTCATTGTGTTGTGTTCTTGGACAAACATCTTACTCTCACAGAGTCTCCTTCCACCCAGGAGTATAAATGGGTATGGAAAATTGTCAGGGAAGCCTGATGAAATGATGAGTGGTAACCTTGCATAGGACTGGCATCCCATCCAGGGAGGATTAGTTTTACTCCTGGTCACTACATGCTATGGGTCACTTGGCTCAAGTACAGACTTAATGTCCTTTTTTTTTCACAGCACATGTAGGGTCTCTATGAAACAAAAAGACAAGAACTTCTACATAGTTGCTCAGTTAAGGATTTAAGCTATAATACTTAATACACATCTTTACGTTAATCTCTCTTTACAGGTTTTCCATCTGACTTCAAATGCGAACCTTATCTTGCTAGACTGGCTAATTGCTGGACGTATTGCTCTGGGAGAAGTTTGGGAAATGATCAGGTTAGTATATATTGTTTGGAATTGTAGGCTAATTAATAAATAGATTTCCTGTTGCTATGGGTCTGTTCAGACTGTAACAGATCATGGATGATGTCAAAATGTGATAAGAACAAAAAAGTGGCATGAGAGGTGCAGCCAAGTGTGTCATTGATGTCACTGTGTGTCACTGATGCCACCCTGTCATGATGTCACTGTCACTATGTCACTGTGATCACTGATGTCACTGTGTCATTGATGTCACTGTGTCGCTGATGTCACTGTGTCACTGATGTCACTATGTCATTGATGTTACTGTGTCACTGATGTCACTGTATCACTGATGTCACTATGTCAGCTGCACCTTATAAATCACTTTTTTGTTCATATCATATTTTGATGTCATCTGTAATCTATCTCTCTGATGAAGGGTTAACACTTGAAACATCAGCTTTGAAACTCTTTATCTTTATGTTATCAACTCAGTTGATGATCCTAAATTACCCTATTATACTCTCCCACTGACACAGCACCACAGTTTCTTTAGAAACGTACCCCCTCTATTACTGAACAGTTGCACAGCTACATGCAATCGATTTGTTACGTGTAACATGGAAATGAAACAATTTTTTTCCCTTTATCTAATGATCCTCACTCATCATTTACATTCTTGTTACCCCTGCAGTTTTGCAAGTGAAAGCAAGGTTTATGTGGATGGAAAGCTTGTACATGGAGATGCTATTAGGCTTGATCGTGATCTTGTAAATGTGAAGGATAACATGTATTCTCTGCAAAAAACTTTAGAATATACTAAGGTAGGGATCAATGATAGTTAAAATTTTCAGTGTCAATCTGACCTAACTTTTAAGAGAATTATGACTGAATTTGCAAAAAAGGCTCCTTAAAAGGGTTGTTACCTATGCAGAAGAAAGTTGTGATCACACATGTGAGGCACATGTGTGATTACAACTTTATAAGAAATATGATTCACATTTTAAATCAGACTTTTTCTCAAGAGTGTGATCAGAAGCTTGATGATGTGATTTAGAAGTGTAAATCACACCAAAAATTTCTTTCTAAGTGTGATTACTTTTTAAATCACACTTTTTCACACTTCTAATCTTTGAATCACACACCAAAAAAATTAAAGTGTGATCACACTTTTTTTTAAGTTTGGTTGTGTTGGACTAAACCATGCATGCTAAATTACAGCTGAAACTTTTTGGCGTTATATAAAAACACTCACTGCATAAGTTTGAATAGAAAACGACAGGAACTATTTATTTACTGTGATAGCTTGATGACAATATTCTCCTTTAATGTTTAGGCGCTTGGATCTTGTGTATTCATTGGACCTCAGTTTAGAGAGCTTAAGTGGAAAATTCAAGAGAAAGTTAAAAGCTTATCAGGTATATGGTACACTGTATATACCTGTCAGTGCGTATCTACGAATAACAGCCAGTAAAAATACAGTTGAACATTTGAATGAGGATGTTGTCTCTTCTGTGTAGCAAACAGGTTTTGTAGAGCAATTAAGACCCAATTAATGCTTAATAAGAAAACTAATTGTGAATTAAAAAGACTGATTGAAGACTCTGCAGGTTCACTCAGGAACGGCACAGCAAGTTTTTGAGTAGGGGGCTATTTTTGGCTCTGTTATTTTTGTTAAATTATTTTTATTTTGGCAAAAAAGTGGGGGGGGGGGGGGGCTCAAGTCCCCCAGCCCCTCTACATGGTTCCTGTCACTGGGTGATATCCTCCAGTTTAAGCTAAGGCATATTAAATCATGTGATCATCTTAGACCAACTGGATGTTAGCAAAAATAACTGATGGATTTTAAAGATAGAATAACAATACCTCAGAGCTAAGAAATTTGTGGTATGCTACATAATAGCTTGCATTGGCTTTAAAAAAATTATGAAGAGAAAAAAAACCAAACAAAAAGGAAGAAAAAGGAGTAGAAGAAAACACCCTGTCAAACAGGAACTCCCCACATCAGATTTCAAGCTGTCTAGATTTAATATTTTTTCATCGTCCCTCCGATGTGTGTTCTCTAGATCCTAGTGATGGTTTCACTGTTTCCGCAAGTGTTTTAAACCAACCACTATGTGATGGAGTAGTGATAAAGCTACTTGCGGCACAGAGCACAGAACAGGTATGCATTGCCTCTTTAAATTTTTTTACTTTATAAACCTAAACAAAAAATTTTTGAGCTTGTGTTGGCCGTAGGGGAGAAAGAACCCGGATAATCACATACTAGTCTAAAACGAAGCCATAGTCCCTAAGGCAATCTGTTGTTTTTGCCATTGTTCTTTTTATCCAAGAACTGTACGCATAATGAAGTATGGGGCTGTGTGGAAATCTTGCCCGGTAAGGTATTCATGTGACTTGTGTTATGCTCACACTCTTAGACAAAAAATTCGAGGAAGTGTTGTGTATGCTGAGTCAATTTCAAAATTAAATTTTACTGTCATTTTACCTTTTTTTGTAGGCTCGCTCCTTTTTCAGAAGCGTTATTGAAGACACAAGGGAGTGGCTTGGGAGTAATCCTTTGGAAAAATAGACGGGAGAGAACACAACCCCATATTTGATACCTCAAACGAGTAAAGTAAGGGCGTGGCACATCGGGGAAAGAGACCAAATCTTCCAAGATGGCCTCGTTGTCATGAAGGGGATGCATGGAACATAAGTAGCCAGTGAGAGTGAAGATTACCTAACAGATGAATCCTTTAAAATGAAGAATGTTATGCAGGTTCTGCATTCGCTGATTAAAGTGTACACCAACAATCTATTAACACATAAAGGCAGTACATATTTCACTGAAAGTACCATAACCATCGCCGGATCCATCCCCAGTTCTTCGAGGCTTTCTGTATCATCTTGCGGCAGAACGTAACACGGGCTGTGATGCTGTTATGACAAGGAACTCTTCGTAGACTCGGTGCAGATTGTGTGAAATATGACATAGGGGTCTAATTTTTAATTTATCCAAGGCTAGGCAACCGACTTCGCTCTACATTATGTTTTGAAACGCTCCCCTCCAGCATTGTGTGACATCCTAGGGAACGGCTGCGAAGGATCACGCTTAACTGTCACTTTTCGTGATCTTCGTCACGAAATCCATCGTGCCCGTTCATCGCATATATTTGCTATGATCTCACAGATAATTTTCTCTAAACAGCCGAATATCTGGAGATAAAAATTTTCAGAGTAAAAAAATTTCAATGAGGATTTAATAAAACTAAAAAAAAAAACAAATTTATGCGTCTCAATGTGTGTATTTCACGACTATGTAACAGTCTAGACCGCAAAGTATACCGGGAATTTCTTGTTGCTTGTCCTGTTGGCCGTGTTGGAATTGTTTGTCGACTGCAAGATGAGGTTGAGCCCAAAAGAATTAGAGGGTCTTCTGATACATCAAACTGGGTTTTTGGCTCAGAAACGACTTGCACGTGGTTTAAAACTTAATTTACCCGAAACTGTGGCTCTGATCGCTTCTCAGGTACTGAAAAACCATGTGGTTACAAGCATGTGTAAATTAATTTGTGATGCTTGAGTGGCATTGTTCCCATGCAATGCAACATGTACGGGCTTTTGGTGAGAACCCCCAAACAAAGCGTCGTGTTAGATGAAATACTGGTATGATACAGGAACACGTGCTAAAAGTTTAGCTGTTGTTACATAATGTGTGTCCTTCCAATTAACTGTAACTAAAGGTGCTAACATTCGATTGTTCCTCACGCAAACACAGTGAGCCCGCTTACCACGCGAACACTTTGCTTCCAAAGAGTGTGAAAAGGACATCTTTACTCTAAAAGCACCACCAAAGTCTTCCATCCACACCAGTATACTTGTTAACTTTTCTGGAGAGAGATATTTTTATAGTTTTTGCAAGAACTGCATAGATGCGTACTAAAATATGGGGCTGTTTTGAAATCTTGCCAATGTTCCCCATTCAAATGCATTTTAAGTTTCATTCAAAAGTACCCAAATTTCCAAAAAAAAACCATAAGTTCTGAATAATGCTTACAACTTCCTAGCCTTGCCAAATGAGCTGAGATATTGGAAATTAGCCAAGGGGATGGTCTTTAGCAGGGGTGAACGTTGTTCAGCTCTGTTTATGTTTTTGTTCAAATTTTAAATTACAGCTCAATGAATTCATCCGTGATGGAAAGACTGTTGCAGAGTTGATGAACATTGGGAAGCAATTTTTAGGTCAGTTTTCCTCTTTTGGTGAATTAACATCTATCCTAAAGATTACAAACTGGTCTAAATGCCAGCAACTGAGCTGTCTGCTGTTGTCGGTCTTGTGCCACTTATGAACAGGTGGAAACTTCAGGCGGAATCTTGTCAGCACATTAGGAAGGGCATAGCGAACAGTATAGAGAATAAGCATACTGATACTAGAGTGTGAGGGGTTAACAAAGGTTTTTTCCTTTTTAGGTGTGAATCAGGTGTTACCAGGGGTAGGGGAACTTGTTGAAGAAGTGCAAGTGGAAGGGACATTTCCTGATGGCACTAAATTGGTGAGCGATTAATATGTAACTTCTCCCTATAATATCCATGCATCATCTAGAAAACTAGTGATGAGAATACTCAAACTGATCTAGTGGAAGTTGTTATCTAATTTACAAGGAAATGTGTTGCAGCTAGAGGGGGGAATTAACGACTAAATCTTGGGCATAAAGGGGTTAAAATATTAATAGCAGTGGACTATAAATTCAAATAACTGTCGTCTTTTTATTAATGATGTTCTTCTAAAATCATTGGTGGCATGGATTAGGCCATTGTTCCACTACACACATTGTATTTGAAAAGTATAAAGTTGCCATTTTGCAATTCAGCTATCATTTTGTAACATCTCCCTGAACATTCAAATTCAGATCAATATCATTATTACTGTGCACCCACCCCTCCCCTAACCAAACAGTCAACTGATAACAAGGTAGGTTTAATGTTGGGTTAGGGGAGGAGTAGGTACTCTGTTGCTCAGATACTGACATTGATCCTTGAATGCTTTACCCTCAGGTCACAGTTCACAGTCCAATATGCCAAGAAAATGGAGACTTGAATCTTGCTCTCTATGGAAGCTTCCTACCAGTGCCTTCAGTGGAGATATTTTCATCTGCAAGTGCTAATGTTGTGTCTATGGTGAGTGATGTCTTGAAATTCAAAGACTAACTTTTTATAATAACTGCATACTTGCCAACTGATTTTATGAATTAACTTTTGAAAGGCTCAGTTATCAAGTATCCTCTTAATTTAAAGTTAGAAATTTGTACATAAAGTAATTGATAGCTAACACTTCAGCCTAGTGGCCCAAACTGCATGAGGCTGTCTGCATCTTTATAGCATGAAGCACCTATGAGTACTGCTACTCTCTCCAGGATGGATGCTTGTTTATGGTTGGTTACTTAGCTGTGTTTCATCAGGTTTCTCTCACTAGTAGTTTTCCAGTGTCCTTTAATCCTTTAACTCTCAGAAGTGATTAACACATAACTTCTCCCTATAATATCCATATATTATCAAGCAAAAAGGTAATGAGACTACTCAGACTTATCAGGTAGAAGTTGTCATCTTGATCTAACACCAAATTCTTGTAACTAATTCACAAGGAAATGTGTAGCAGCCAGAGGGGAGAATTAACAATCAGATCCTTGGGAGTTAAAGGGTCAACCTTTACACTCTAACATCAGTACCCATATTCTCCATACTCTTCTCTATGCATTTCCTTTGTTACCGACAAGGAGAATTTGTTTAACAATCAAAACCTCCTATTAATAAGTTGGTGATCATTTTATTTTTTTCTCATGGTCTTAATGAACAATTCAGCAGTGTTACTCTAAGGAGAAATTAGATGCTGATCACTCTTAGGATTTAAAGGGTTAGTTAATGTACTTTCCTTGAGACAAGACTTGTTATATTTCTAAAGGAAAAATCCAAAGAGGGATTTAAGCCTCCAGATAAATCTGGCGGTCTGATGTGATTTCCACTTGTTGTTATTTTTCAAGGGTGGTAGAAATTCACCTGGTGCCATGATTCCCTCAGTCAAAGGAGACATTTTACTCAATGCTCAGAGAAGGACAATCAAACTGAAAGTCACAAGCTTGTGTGACCGGCCTATTCAGGTATGTCTGGCAATATTTTGCTCACTTGTCAATTTAGAGGTAAATAATGAAAAACTTACAATCGGTTCTTGTGTCATATGTATAATGATTTGCTTGAGGTGTAGCAAGTACTTTATATCTTTATATGAGACACAGTTGATGCATGAATCAGTAGATTATAGCATTTCCAAAGAAAAATTTGAAATGTTGTAATGTGATAAATTCCGTTTGCTGGGCTACGGTGCAAATGTATTTCATCAGCATGTAAAATGGGAATGTGAAGAAAAGTGGCAAATTTTAATTTGACTACACAAATTTGCTACAGCTATGTTATAAAAAATGTGTTTTTTAAACTGGCTGAGCTCAAGTGAATTTTGTCATGAAACTCCAACCAAACACAAATAGCAAACTAGTAGTCATATAATTATGTCTGTGTTAGATCCAGGGGGGAGGGTCGGAAGGTCCAGACTCCCTCCCCCCTTTCTTATTGGACCTGAGTGTTTTTTTTGACAACTTGTTTGACTAAAAAAATATTGGCAAATACATAATTGGATTTTTCTTCTCAATACGAAGTGTTTAAAATGTACTTGTTGTGAAATATTTTTTGCTTATTTTAAGTATTTTTTCATAGCATGAATTTTGGGAATCTGCATGTTGTGTCAACCTGGTATTTTGTCACATTTCAACCCCTAGGTCGGAAGTCATTATCATTTCCTTGAGGCCAACAAGCAACTAGAATTTGATAGGGCAGCTGCCTATGGTATGAGACTGGTAAGATTGACCTGTACTTAACCTTTTATGCTTAGAGGTGATGAATATGTAACTTCTCCCTAAAATATAACAGCATTATCCAGAAATGAGGTGTTGAGAAGATCAGATTGAGGTTGTTATCTTGATATAATATTGAATTCTCCCAACTCATTTAGAAGAGAATGTGCCACAAATACAAGGGAGAATTAAACACAAATTGAATATATGTTAGAGATGGACACTAGGTGTGGAAGTGGTTAGGAACTGGATTTGAAAGCTGAACATTCCAGGTCCAAATCCTTGTCTTCATCTTGGGTATTCAATTAGATTTGTTCCTTAGTAATCCTAAACTCAGCTCTCTAGCTGAGCCTTTGTTAAATGTCAACTGATTTGCCTTGCAGTATTTGGAATTTATTTTCAAAATTAAATTCTTTTCACTCTCTTTGTTAGACTTTTTTATTTAGTGTCCTAAGCTCAGTTGGTGGTTACAAAATTAATATAAATTTGAAGTACCAAATTAAATTTTCATGCTAATATTAATTTTTGTTTAATTTCTCATTTATTTTAAACAAATAACTAGTTATTTTATCTGAAGGTTCAATTAAGTACTGTAAGAGTGTTGTTAAACATCCTCAAATCCATCTATGAATTGATGTTACCAACCCTAATTGCCAGTTCACATTTAAATGCATCAAAAGTCCACTTGCATTTGAGAACTTGTTGATTTGCGATTATTTTTAATAATACAGAACATTGCTGCTGGTACTGCGGTTAGATTTGAACCTGGAGACACCAAAACAGTTGAACTGGTTGACATTGCTGGAAACAGGTCAGTTGAGGGTTTTCTTTAGTGATGCTTACATAGAAGATGATAAAAACTAACCTTTTCTACTTGTAAATTACATGATTTTTCTCCCTTTTACCCAACCTTTTCAAATAATTGTTAAGTTTGCCACTGATCATAAAAATATTCCCCTTGCTAGAGTGGTTCGTGGAGGAAATGGACTGACTGATGGACCAGCTTTGCCCGAAAACTTGGACACTGTCATGAAGAAGGTTGCTTCAAAAGGTTTTGCTCACAAGCCACAGGTTTGTATATTTAGTAATATTTAAATATTTCATACTACTTGTAGCTGATGAGGTACACAATCATTGGGAACAATCAATCTTTAGAAAACTCGCTGAGTTTGAAGGGAAAGATCAAGTGACCAAGACATGAAATA